TTGCTGGTTTTTTTTCTATTTGTTTTTTTCTTTTTGTTTTTTTTTTTTTTGGGAGTCGCCTCCGCTTTTGTGGCAGGTTTGTGTCTGTGCTCGTGGCGGCGCTAACAAATTTCAATAAATTACAGTTACATTTCCCAAAGTCAGGGCATCGCGCTGTGTCGTCTCCGGGTCGTTTTGTTCGCTTAATGGCTCCGCTGTCAGCTCTTTGCCGCTTGCCCCGTGCCCCGTGCCCCGTGCCACGCCCTCTGGCTCTCTCCCCCTTTCTCTCTCTCTCACTCTCCTACTTCGACTGCATAATTCAATTTGTGCTAAAGTTTTGTGAGTGCGTGGCACTCGCTCCGTCGCCGACGGCCCTCGTAATGCGTCACATAATTCAAACGCAAATTCCTATGGATGCTGCCCAAATCCCGAACCGTGCTGCTTGCAGCCAAAATAAGCTTACATCAATGGGTCCACCTCATCGAGAGGGCGATTGGGTGGGTTATTGTGCAATGATATTAGATACTTGCACCATGTTGTTAGCTACTTAATAAGTGCAATTCGGTCACTGTTTCGATGTCGAATCTGTTGCCTCGTGATTTAGAAACACTAACTCGTCTAACTAACTAAGCTCGTCCCGCTCTATTCCTATCATCCCTATCAGGATAATGCATTTGAGTTAAACTTGGCCTGCTTAAATCGTTCAAATCTACTATATCTTTTGCTTTCTCATTGCTTGCAACTTTGTGTGGGTCGCTGATAATGATAAAAATACTGTGGTATCTAAAAGGTTTATAAGCGAAAAAACATATCTTAAAGAAGAATCTCAGGGAGTAATTCTATCGAATTGCATTCAAGGTTTATGGCATTATTTCTAGGTTTTTGAGAGGCTGATACTGATAGTTGAAGCACATTATTTATAAGAGCAGAACTCAAAATATTGGCAAATATGTACTTGACTTATTTCTGCCGGAATTATCCTATAACATGAAATGCTATCGCTTCCTGTTGATCTGTCAAAGTTGCCAACAAGCTGAAGCCATTTGCTTGGGTCTCACGCTGACTTTTTTCTTCTTGTGTTTTTTTTTTTTGTGTGTGTGTGTGTGTGTGGATCATAAGTGCTGCAAGTGAATAAATGTAACAGCTTTGGCGAAACGCGTGTGCCAGCCATAAATCAGCTGCTGTAGCTGGAGCTGAAAGTGGACCTGGACCTGGAGCTGAAGCTGGAGCTGGAGCTGAAAGTGGGCCTGGAGTTGGAGCTGCTCTGCTGGCCAAGCAGCCAAGTTTGGCAACTGATTACGGAAAGCCGAGTCCAGACAGTAACGAAACTAACAATTTTGTGGGCTAACTATGACGATGTTGCCGATTTTACGCTACATTTGCCGCACGATTGTCGCTGTTTGGATGTGGCGGCAAACGGGGAAAGGGAAAGGGAAACGGATGTGGATGTCGACGTGGAAGTGGAAAGTGGAGCAGCAAACGCCAGCTAGACATTGTCTGACCAGGGACAGCCAGTTTTTGTTGTTGTTGCCCATATTACATACTTGAGTGCACTTATTTATTTGCTTGTATGTCAACCTGCATACGTGTGTGTGTCTGTGTGACCGTGTGTGTGTCTGTGTGACCGTGTGTGTGTGTGTGTGTATGACTGCCATTTTTCTATTTTGCGATTTCAATTTGTCTATTGTACAGCACGAAAAGGAGACAAATTGCTGAGGCAAGAAGGGCGCAACGAGACCCAACCAGACCCAACCAACCAGACCGGGACAGCAGCACCAAAAGGCCAAAGGCAAAAGGGACGCCCTCACCCGCTTCTGCTCCTACTTCTGTTCCAGCTCCAGCTCCAGCTCCAGTTCCAGCTTCAGTTCCTACTCTTGCCCCAGCCTGTCCGCCTGCTGCTGTTCTTGATTAACCTATTATGATCATTTGATTGCTCGATTTAATTTGCTATCGTCGATTTTTTTTGTATTTTCTTTTTTTTTGTATTTATTTTTATTTTGCTACATTTCGCATTTCTCTTTGTCTGGCGCCGGAGAAAAGAGAAGCGAGAACTTTAAGTAACGGATGGGAGAAAACTTATTATTTCCCCCATTGATTCTTTCCCAAATTGAATTTCTTTGATGACTTTTTGGCCTGTACATTGTCCTGTTGCCCTCAACCCCCACCCCCCTTTTGTATTGCATTTATATAATAATAAGGCCAACAACAACAGCAACAACAACAACAACTGACCCCAAATTAATTTTCATTATAAACTTTGTCCCTTTTGCATTCGCATCCAATTTTGGCCAGCTTAATTTTTGTTTCGATTGCTGTCAGTTTTAATAATTGTTCCTGTGCATCTGATGCAATTCAAAAATGATTATGCAGTTTTAAATATTGCTGCTATATTGATAAATACAAATTTTATTTTATTTTCTCATCTATGGTTGCCTACGATTTGTGCAATTGTTTTTAATTATGTTGACTTTTTGCTCATTCAGCAGCGGTTTTTTCATTGCGTGTTTCGCCTACAAATCAAAAATTTGGGATATCAGACTCGAGAGTAATTTGAAATTAAATTATTGTTCGTGCTGCAACAGCAAAGCAGCAGCAAAAACATGAAATTTATATATTTATTTATGATAGGTTCCACGCTTCATTGAGAGAAGCCCCACTCTGAGAGATTTGTTCGCATAGAAGTAGGCTATTTTAGATCATTCGTCTCTCGCAACTTGCTCTAAGCCAACTTCAATAAACCGAGCGATTGTTCCCTTAGAAGCTATATAATATGACCAATTTCCAAATAGATATTTTAGTGATAATGTATGCTTCCGTTCCTATGGCTATATGGCTATAGTTGTACGATCCAGCCTGTAAAAATACGAATGTATTCCAGGTGCCAGCAGGACACCTTTTACTCGAGGGACATGGCTATATAGACTGGACTAGTTGTGCTGATCAAGAATATTTATATATTTTATGGAGTCAGATATGCTTTCATTAGACTTCACAGTCAAATACAAATGATATGCCCTCAATGATAGGCACTCAAAAGTAGATAGAGTAGAGCAGAGTGGAGAGACAAGCACTTGTTTTTGACACAATTTGTCGATTGACCCGCGGCACTTTGGACTGGTTGAAAACAAAGCCATTGGCATTAATTTTGCTTTTAGCTGTGGGCCTTAATGCCAATTTTTGTTGCCATTGGACTATTCAATCGACTGTTTAACATGGCGTATGCTTATCAAATTAACGAATTACGCACTTCAGAATGCCAATGTAATTTCCCGTATGCGGTTGCAATAAATGATAATCGCACAAGAGCCACACACACACACACACTTTGTTGCATGACATGGAATGATGTGCTTTGCGGCTGGATCGACCAAAAGTCGTCAATTCCGTCGGTGCCGCAGAAAAACAGGCAACCAACGCGGCAAAGAGCAACTGGCTGGACTGCACAACAATGCAAACAATGCCACAAATGCACAAAATACGCCCGGACCGTGACCAGAATTGCCGGCTCCTACAACAACTGCGACTATGACTACTACGGCAACGACTATTACTCCTGCATACCCACCCCCACCCCCACCCTCTCCACCTCCCCACAGACTCATTCCGCCGGTCAAAGAGCTTGGAGCCAGGGTGCGTCAGAGCCGCCGTTCGACATAATTAAAAGCGCGCGCCGTTTACGCAATTAATGAACTCTCGCCAAATTAGGCTGCGGCAGCGCGACAAGCAAATGGCCAGGACGAGGACGACGACGACGACGAGAACGAGGACAGGCGAGCGGGCGAACGGGACAGGATGTACCCTCAATGACCGCCTGTGCTGCGGTTGCGGTTACAGCCCACACAGCCCACACCAATGGGCTAGGGGTGAGGCGGGGGCGTTGGCCAAATGGCGAGGAAACGTTGGTGCACAAAAACCGCCGCTTTTGCCGCATTGCAGGGCTTTTGTTGCAAAAACAGCCAGACGACAGCCGCATTAATGGCCGCCAGTAAAACAAGAGATGCCAAGCACCCTTCCATCTCCATCTCCACATCCACCTTTGTCGCTCCCCCGTTTGTCTTTGTAGACGCATCCACCGCCTAAGCAAATTGAATCACTCGGGCAATCAGACGGTGCTGGTCTTGGTCCTGGTCCTGGTCCAGGTCTAGGTCCAGGTCCACTTTCAGGCGGCAGAGCTCAAATCGCAGAAAACACAATTAAATTGGAGCCTAAGACAAAAAAGCGACAAGAAAGAGTGCTCTACTCAAGTGACTCACAAACTGCTCGACTTGGCAACACCCTGTACCAAACAATTTGTATGCTTATTGATGAAATTTGGTTTCAAAAATATTATGCTGAAGACGACGTGACTAACCAGAAATGATCTTCAACTCTTGCTGCTGATCGAGCATATATGCATGTATGTATATACTTTGTGGGAGATACTTTCGTCTGCAAGTTTCATATGTTTTCACGACTTCAAGATACCCTGCTTGGCAAATATTTAAAAGGGTACAGAGTATAATAAAAATTGTGGAGACACCGAATTTAATTGAAGCACTCCGAAAGCCATTTGGTAGGGTCGGGGTCAGTAATGTTAACAATTTTAATGTCAGCTAAAAGTACCAAAGCAAACAAGGCACAATTAAGACGTTATCACTTTGGTATTGAATATAGTATCTCTCTAGTACTCTCGTTATGCGCTTCAGCTATAAAATGATCTATGATTTATACATACATTGAAAACGCGCTGCAATTGAATTCCGCAATTTGAGGAGTTTTAGACGAGGCCAAAACGATGATGGTCAACTTGAAATGCCGCTGCTGAACACGCAATTCAATGATTTGTGGTCAATGTCACCAATGCAATTGCAGTTGCGTTTATCACACACTCACACACTCACACACTCACACACTCACACACTCACACACACACACTCACTCACACTGGTTGCCGAAAACACATTTCTGCAACAATTCCACCCAGCCACAGTACCCCACTACACCACCAGCAGCCCAGTACACAAAAAGAAAAAAGCATCACGTTTGTTTGTTACTTCTCTTGCAATCAATTCTTTTCTTTTGCCTCTGTTTATTTTGTTGTGGTGCAATTTCTTTTCATTCAGTATCAATTTGCTTCTCATGCACACAAAACTTTACAATTTCATTTCACGTTTCTTCTTTGCATTATCTCTACAAGCAAGTCAAAAAAAAATAATTATAATATATATGTTTATATATATATACGTATACCTAAGAATTGAAAAAAAAAAAAATAATGTACATAGTATAAATTTACAGCATTTGTTTTCCTATTTGTTCCCCTCCCACATTAAATGAATGCCTTGGCTAAGTTGCTGTTCAAAGTAGAATATGGAGGAAAAATCAATGAGTGCGATAAACCGAAAGGGAATAATAAAGATAAGTTGCCGAAACTTCAGCTTAAAGCAAGATGAATAAATAGGTGTGCAAACTAAGTAGCAGAAAATAAAAAAAAAAAACAACAACAATATGAAATAGACAATTAGACTGAGCACTAGAAATGCTCAGAAATGCTTTAGTTCGCCTTTTTCTCTGTTGCCGTTGACGTTGACGTTTCCGCCGCTGTGGATGCAACGAGCGGTGGCGCAATCACAGTCGCAGTCTGCGAGTTGCCCGATATGTCCAAATCACTGGCGCTGTTCTGCAAATATTAAGGAGTGATACGAGAATTTAGTATTAAAGAGAGTTTTGCAGATGTTAATGTTACTGCATTCAAAAGATTTTCATTATTTTGAGCATGATTGTCGATCATTTTTTCTTGATAAACAAAAATAGCTTACCTTCATCTCCTTGCTGAGCTTCATGGACTTGCCCATGCTCTGCAATCGATAACGCTCCTTGGCACGCTCGCGTATTTTCTCGGGCACCACCCACATGGTGGTGGCAATGTTGCCGCAGAAGAGCAACAGAAAGAGCCCGCACATGACAGACACATGCCACGGGGCATCTGGCGGATAATATGCCAGTTTGAAGAGCGTCCAGGCGTTGTAGGCCTGAAAGGCGTACCCAATGAAGAGGAACGGCAAAAGGAAGCTCAAACCGCGCCACATCCACGAATGAAAGCCCTCAATGGTAATGTCCATATTGTGGCGCTCGCCCAGCGCCTTGAGTCGATACAGGAGTCCCTTCTGGTAGCCAAACTGCAAATACTGCACAATGCCTGCAATGGACGAGTGCAAGAAACGAAAGCATTCGAACGTGAATTCATTAAGCGAATCGGAATGGTTTTCTTTGGTTTTCGGTTTTCGTTTCGTTTCGTTTCGTTTCGTTTGGTTCGATTCGGTTCAGTTTGGTTTGGTTTGGTTTGGTTTGGTTTGGTTTGGTTTACTTACTGATGTACACATTAAAGTACATGAACTGCAGGCGGAAGAGCTGCCAGTGCTCGCCCTGGGGCCAGACGAGGAGCACACCAGCAGCGACCGTTGAGATGAAATGATGGGCACGCCACCAGCCCTTTATCCGAGAGCCATTCACCTTCAGTATGGACTCGCGTATGGTCAGCGTGCAATAGTACCACACCAGCAGAAATATGAAGGCCAGCTCCAGGGCTCTGTGGACGCATAAGTATATTGTTATGATGCTAATGGACGGGGACGGTAGTGGTTCCTTAAATGAAAGATTATCACCAGTCTTACCTGTAGTTGAATATCAAATTGAAAAACGCCATTATCAGTCCAATTACGTTGAGTATTAATTTAAACTTTTCATAGTCATCTTTGTAGCGAACTTTGTCGTTTCTGTTCAGAATTGAGACGTTCACATCGCCCAGGATAATCTATGGCAAAAAATAAAAAAATAAAAATAAAAATAAAAATAACAACAACAACAACAAGAAGAAAAACATTAACATGAACACAAATTGACACAAACTTAAGCGAAGTCGACGACATTCAACAAGCGACACAAATTGTCGCTTACGCAAACTTTGTGCAAATCCAATTCGCTTTCAACTTTCAACTGTGAACTCTCAGCTCTCAGCTCTCAGCTCTGAACTTTGAACTCTCAACTCACCTGCAGGTAGCGACCAGATTTTGCTGGCAGCGATTGCTCAATTTCATGCAGCTGAGCCTTCCGCTTCAGCGACATCTTCTGCAGATCATCGATCTTCTCCTTCTCCTCGCCGCCAACTGGCCCTTTAAATCTGTAATCAAGCAAATCAAAATTGATTTTTTGTTAATTATTTCAGAAAGCTGAAAGCTTATCAAATTATAAATGGACTTTTCTTGGCGCATTCAAATAGTTGTGTCATAAATCACTTTGTCGAACCCGATGATGTCCATCATCATTTCAAACAGTTAAGTAAATAAAGGGCATTATTGTGTCATAATTAAAATGCAATTCTTTTTCGATGATCTCATCTAGGATATATGTACGATTTGTCAAACATCGATAACCCATTCAATATTGGAAAAAGGATTTAATGAAGTTGTGCAAAAGTGTGTCACAGGCGGAAAGAAGCATCTCATACCCCATTGAGTATATATAAACAGATTCCATAGAGTACATCTATAAGTAGAGCAAGCCAATCTCTGAAGCAATAAGAGCCAAAGACTATAAGTTCTCGTGTTCCATAAATAGAGTAAGTTTATTTTGTTTTATCGGCAATTGCCACATTGTACATGTATCGGTAAAAGTCGATTTCCGGTAGCTACATGGGACACAATTCTAAAGACGCAATTCTAATATTATATTTATATAATATCCGGCGGCATATTAAGAAGACAGAATGAGCTTTTATACTGAGCAAACTACAATTAGCAATTAGCAACTATACTCTGGGTTCGAGGTATCTCCTAGCGGGCTCTCGCTTCTTCGCATATTTGTATATTTCTTAAAAATTGATTTAATAATAATATTATTTTCAATTGAGAATGTGTGATTGCATGGGGTAAAAAACCATTTCATAGCTGACAACTTGCACATAGCAACAACATTTACAACATTTGTATCGATCTGTTGCAGGTATCAGTTGCAATACGATGACTCATTCACTCGGAAAATGCAGGTGCTTGGCGTTAGTTGGGTCAATGGTCAATGGTCAATGGGTTCGATGTTGCATCAGATGCCTTGCAATTTGCATAAATATTATTTATACTTGATTTCAAAGAGGGGAATGGAGACTGCTCGTCGATATCAATTATAAACACCGCGCTCGGTACACGCCAATTTTAATTTGCAGCACGTCAAAGTTCAATTTAGGCATTATTGATAGTTACCTATATCTATATATATATATATATATATATATATATATATATATATGTATGGACAAATGAACATATGATGTGCATATGTGCTTTCTATTTTGTTATTTATTCGACTTGCTGGCAATTTTGTCAATAGCTTGCATAATTCATGTTTTTATTTTTAAACACCTAATAAATAGTATAAAATGGCAACGCTGATAAGCGACCCAAAAGTGATATGGGAAGTGCCCACAGCCCAAGAAAATCTAAATAAACATATGTATGTATGTATGTGCTCGAATTTTATATGTACGGGGAATAATCTAGAATTTCTTATATATATATTTTTTTTTTGTAAATATGAATATCAGTTTATGATTATGTAAGTGCGGAAGTTCGCCAGCGATCGAAAAATTTGATCGATTTGTCACTCATACTAAAAACATTATGAATGACTAAAAATGGGCCTATTTGGATTGGTTTTTGATTGGTATTTTCCTTTAATTAATTAATTAATTTTATTTTTATTGTTTTCCATTTGCACACGCGCCAAAGTCGCCTCTGAAAGGCGTTGCTGTCATTAACGGGCGCACTTGACGCCGGTTTTGAAAAGCAAATGTTGCAATTCAATTGCTGTTGCTGTTGTTGTTGTTGTTGTTGTTGCTGATTTTGCTGTTGATTGTGTGTGCACATTGCACACCTTCAGCTGACCAGAACAAACACACAAGCAAGCATGCATGCATGTATGTGAGTGTGAGTGTGTGTGTGTGTGTGTGTGCCTGTATGCACCTTCGTACATAAGCAAACGAACCGTTACGCTAAAATAATGAACTGCAATAATAGAGTACAACAACCACCGGCAGTAATTGTAGCGTACTAGAAGCCAGCAGCAGTTGCGCCAACAATTTCCATTTTTTCAAATAAGATGAATTTGGCGAAAACGCAAGGCGAACTTTTTACTGTCACATTTGTAGCGCTAGTTTTTAATAGTTTGTGTTTTTTATTTTATTTATGTACATTAATTTATTTTGGACAGTTCAAAATCATGTCATGTTCTATATATTTGTCTTTTACGTGTGCGTAGCGTAAATCTGGCAAACAGAGACAGCTGAGCGCAAGGTCATTGTGGCAAGAGCAAGCTAAAGAAAAACGGTGTCGGCAGAGCGGGGACAGTGCAAAGCACGCAATCAGCTACACACACGCACACACACACACGCACGCAAATATACGCGGTGCTGCTCGCTCCGCTTTGCCAAGTATTCTTGTATGCGCGCGTAAGAGCGAGGTGGAAAGAGGCAAAGCTTTATTTTGTGCGCTCACAGCGTTCGTGTATGTGCTCCACTCACTCTCTCTCTCTCTCGTTCTCTTTCTCATCAGGCGATCAGTGACACACATAACACAAAAACTTCGCAACTGTTATGACAACAACAACAAGCACAGGTACAACTTGGCCTTGCAAGCACAGTGGGCCTCAGCTTGCTGAACTTGTGATCAATATTGCAAAATGTTCAATCGTTTCAAAATTCACTACACAAAATAATACAATTTTTTCGATTATAATTATTTCATTATAAATTAGAGAATAAGATCACATGGGGCGACCAATAGTTATAATTTCATGAGGTGTAATTTGTCTGTAGAGAAACTTAACATTATAAAATTATATGAAAGTCTCAAATTTGGATTAAATGTAATAATTCATTTTCCTTATGCTCAGCATATTTGCCCCACTGTCAAACAGCTGGTCATCGAGTTTAGTTTTGTTTATTTTTATTATTTTCGGTCAATCATATTTTCTTGTTTGGTTTTTAATATTTGTTTTGCTTGCGAGTTGAGATCGATGTTGTTTTAGTTTACGCTTCAGGCGCCACGCCAGTATAGGGTCAAGGGCGGCGAAGAGAGGTGGAGGGGAGAAGGAAGAGCGGCTAACTGGTCAAAGGTTCAATTACAAAAAAAAAAAAACAATAATAAAAATGTTATGCCACTGACCATGGCAATAAAAATGCCCAAAAGCATCAGTTTGTGGAGCAAAGTCTACGCGTGGTTTTATCACAGCTTTGTTTTTATCGAAAGAAACACAGTTGTAAAAACTAATTGGAGCCAGGCTAGAAGCAACTAGCCAACGAAGAAACACACATACAAATATAGATACGAGACTGCCAGCCGTTAGCCTAAATAAGACCTGATAAGGCTCACCTTTCTGACTAATTGCCGCTATACATGTGTTTTACAGTTCTGATTGATAAGCCACAAGAAAACAAAATAAGTGTGTGTGTGTGAGCGAGTCCGATAAGAAAGCATGGGTAGGAAACTTGCTGCCAGCAATAACTGATTGATATCAAATTCCAATTCCAATTGGAAAACTTCAAAATGGTGTTGCTCATTATGGCTATAATAGCCATGGCAATGTAACGAATTCGAGTGTCAGCGAGCACATTTCAAATGCATAGCGATGCAAAGCTTAACGAGTTTTCTTAATAGCCGAAACATAGTGTAAAAGGCATTTAATGGCACTATTTCTATATGAATATATATATTTTCTATTTAAATGTATATATTTGTCTTCATTATTTATAACTTTTCAAACATTTTCTGCGTCAACATTGAATAAATAAAATACTAAAAATTTAAGTATATTTTTCCTGATATCTTTTCTTTAAATTTCTTTCGAGTTCATTCACCATTTTATGCAGCTACAACGAATAATAATGTTTTAAGTCATCAACTCGTGTCACGCGACCATTTCTAGCAAGTTAATATGTCCGTGTCTGTATATAAATATATATGCGAACTTTCATAACCCAACCCTATAATAAATGTGTGTATGTATTTACTTTAAAGTGTACAAAGTACATGAAAATATTGTAGAAGGGTTGGCTTTTTGGTACTTAGGGATTGCTTTGTCATTCTCATACTCACTGTCGCATCGAGGCCGTTATTTGATTCATGCGATATCGCTGATGTTTGATCTCGTTGAAGCATTTCTGCTGGTGTTGATACAGCTGTTCCAGCAGCTCAATGTAGCGTCTGTTGCACGTCTACAAAAGGCAAAATATGTATTTATGTATTTTTAATAGCAACCGTTTCAAGGTGCAGACAAGAAGATGAAGAACAACAACAACAAAAACCACAAAAAAGACTCACCTCAAGCTCGGTGTACTCGCGATTGAGTTCATCCCATTCACTGCGAAGCGTCTCGATGTCCATATTGTGATGATTATGGATATGGTTGTTGTTGTTATTGCTCCAAGATTTGCTTTACACGTTTTGCTGGCCGCTGGTATGCAACAGCTGTTTTGAGGTTAGGGCCGTCCCTCTGGCAAAGGGGAGGGTGGGTGTGGGGAGTAGGGAGGGTAAATTGCCGGCTCTCGTCGTGGGGCGAATGCGCCGTCTACCCAAAATATTTGGTATTTGGTGAAAAATCAATTGGCCGCAACGCAGGCAATTCGCCTCGATTTCTATTTCGCTGCACACCGTTTCGATTCGATTCGGCCACTTATCAGAACTCCAACTGAATTATTGGTTAAATTAAAACGCGCTTCTGCTTCTGCAGCTTGTTGGTTTTCGTTTTTTGTATTTAAAATACAATTTGAGCGGAGCAGCGACGCTTACGCCGTGCGGTTACTAAATCTGAACTAAACACTACGGCGGCGGCAATAGCAATAATAATATTTTAGCGGCGATCCAATTGGCAGTGCGGCGAGCTGAGGCTGAGGCTGAAACTGAGGCAGCGGTAGCGGCAGCGATGGATAACTGCATGCAGTGCGTTGGCGACACTTAATTTTAAATATTTAAGACTTAGTTTTTGAGACGGGCCTTCTGATTAGATTAAACAAACACGACCAACCGCCGCAGCCAGAGCACACTCGCACCAAACAATAATTTTATTTTGCTTTGGTTGAGCGCAACAAAAAAAGAATGTGAGCAAAGAGTCGCGCAGCAGCCACCGCTTGCTTGTTGCGTCGCACTTCGCACACTATGGTTGTGTCGCTCTTATCAATGGATTACATTTTGCTAGCTATTTCTGTCTTGTGCTTACTTACGGACTGTGTATGCTTTTACAAAGGTAGCTTTCGCTTCGGTGGTGAGTTTCTGCTCTATGGTGGATTTGCAGTGGCGCTCGTTTTGAAATTTTGTTAATGCTTGTGCTGAATGTGGTTTGAAGTGAGATTGATTTTTTGTTTTTTTCTTCGTTGTGTGTATAAAGCATATTTAATCGCCTACTAACATTAAATGTAGTTTTCATAGCATAGTTTTTTCGTCTATGTTTGACACAAAAGTAATAAAAATTTAAAAAAAAATCATTTATAATTTATACATGTGCATATGTAAACATTAGCTGGCGGCGTCACTCCTTGCGCCTGGCGCGCAATCGCAGCGCCAAGTAGGCGAATCCACGAAAGCAAACAATGAGCAGGGCCAATCCGACATAGTCGAGCGGCAGATCTGCGGCCGAGAAGTTTAGCGTTTCCAGTATAACCTTGCCGGAGCTGGGACACGTTGTGTTTGAGGAGGTGCAGCTAATCTCGCCGGCCTCCACATCGGCCCATTGATTGATTAGCAGGCCCTCGTTGGCGTAACGGAACCAGGACAGATAGGACAACCATTTCAGATAGATGGGCACCGAACCTGAGTTGAGGAAGAACCCACCGAAAAGCAGAAATGGAATGATAACAGGCGGACCCACCGAGAGCGCCATCGATGTTGAGGAACTGGCACAGGATATCAAGTAGCCAAACGAGGTGGACACATTGGCCACTAGTGTGACCAGCGCCAGGCAGTTGAAAAAGTGCAGCGCACCCGCCCGCAGACCAATCATCGGATATGCAATCGCTGTGAACACAAGCGGCACGGTTAAAAACAACGGCAATTCAGCTATAGTCTTGCCCAGAAAGTAGGTGTCGCATCGATAAAGGCGACTGCGCGACTCCCTCATAAACACGGGCAGCTCCGACGTAAACACCTGAAAGAGACAGTAAAAGCCAAAATGAAACCGATAAACAGATACTTAAAGTTCGATATACACACATAATTAATGAAAATAATGAATTTAATATTTCAACTAAAACTTTAAGATCAATATAACATGAACATATATATTTTGGGATGTTTCTCTCAGATAAAAACTTTTCTTTATTTTTTAATGAATAAATATATATATTTAATTATGACTATCTATGCTGTAACTAAATTATAGAAAAGTTCAATGGTTCAATATTGATATACACATACATACATATGTACATACAAAAGGGAATGCTTACATTAATGGTGGCAAACACATTCTGAAATGTCATGTTTGTCAGGAAGAGAAAGATGGCTCCGTTGATGTTCATCACGCCCACCTGCGTAAGCTGCTGGCCCAGAAAGATCAGCCCAATTAGCACAGCTACCATCTAAAAATAGGGTTTGAAACATTAGCAAAAGAACAAGGAGACAGAGAGAGAGAGAGAGAGAGAGAGAGAGAAAGTGGTAGCATGGTGAGGTGGGGACTTGTGTGCATCTCACCGTTGTTTGTATGAGTCGCACTTTCACGAGCAGTGGCTCCTTCAGCACGGAGAGCCAGGAGCGCCAGAGTACGGCACGGAATTGCATAAACCATGTCGCCTTGTATGTATATCCATTCTCGGGCTGTTCCAACGGCTGCGTTTGGGCCTTGGCAGCCAACAGCTGCTCCATATCCCGCGCCACCTTGCTAATGGCGAAGTTATCGCAAATCTTGGCAATTCGCTCACGCGACTCCAGCTCCCGGCCTGGCACAATCGCCAGCACCTGCACATAGAAGTCGGCCGGATTGTAGTTGGTCGGACACTGGGCGCCAACACTGTGGGGAACGAGTTGAGTTCAATCAATGGATGGAACAGAGAGGAAGGGATCGCGGCATTCATCGTTTTTCCTTCTTTGAAAATAATTCAACGAAACTTTTCATCGATTCATCGAAAATAATAAACTGATTAAACTTACAAATTATGATCAATTTATGTATACAGGATTTCTTAAAATTTACATTTATATTAAAAACACAAGTGAAGAAAGTAGAAAGTATTTTCCCCCTTATAGACAATAGACAGCATTTCAGTAGAACTTTTTGGTTGTTGTGATTTTAGAACTATCTAAAATAATAGGGCACTCCGTTTTTTAGGGATAGAAAGTGTTGTAAATAGCGTGGAAAAATGAAGAGTTAAACGCAGTTTCTGATTATGGATTATCTTTATTATGCGCGAGTGCGTCTTTACTTGTTGAAGAATTGAGAGCAACTTTTGAACTCAGAAAGAATCAGGGGAAACTTTTTTAAGTATAAGTTTGCCGAAACTGACCCAATTTTCATGCTTGGTCATATTTTGACCTCCAAATGAATTCTCTGTCCAGAAAGTGTTCACCTTCATTTCTGAACCGGTCTTAAATCGTAAAATGCAAGCAACTTGACTGCTTAAATTACAATACGTGTTGTGATTAGTTTGCAAGTACTTACTAGGAGAAGAAATCGACAGCCTCGCTTGGTGTGCCAAGGAATGCGACACGACCCTCGGCGATGAGGAGTATCTTGTCGAACAGCTCAAACAGCTCCGACGATGGCTGATGTATGGTCAGTATAACGGTTTTGCCCTTCTCCGACAGCTTTTTGAGCACCTGGACGACGCTGTGAGCGGTAAACGAGTCAAGACCCGATGTGGGCTCATCGCAAATCAACAGCGGCGGATCGGTGAGTGCCTCCGAGGCAAAGGCCAAACGCTTCCGCTCACCGCCAGACAGCCCCTTGACACGTCCAGGCACCCCAATAATCGTATGCTGGCACTTGCTCAGCGACAGCTCCTGGATGACCTGATCGACACGCGCCACCCGCTGGCGAAAGGTCAAATGCCGTGGCATGCGCACCATCGCCTGGAAGATGAGATGCTCCCGAGCCGTCAGTGAGCCAATGAATAGATCATCCTGTTGCACATAGGCGCACCGTGCCTGCATCTCCTTGGCATCCACCGGCTGGCCATTGAGCAGTCGCACGCTCGACGGCGACACCTGAACTCCCTGCGGCGACCTAAAGGCTAACGCGTTCAATAGGGTCGTCTTGCCGGCACCGGAGCTGCCCATTACAGCCAACAGTTCACCCGGATAGGCCACGCCGCAAACTGTGGATGAGAAGACCAGGAAATGGGTGTACAGATAGAGTAACAGCTTGATTTCAATTCCAAGGAAAACAGTAGATAATACGAGGCTATTATGATGTACTTAAAAATATAGCTTTACGCAAATTTTATGTAAACCAAAATAGCTAAAATACTATTTGCATACAGATTTAGAAATAGCTAAATATTGAGCAGAAAATATATTTTTGGCTGGTCGCATAAAAATTGAAAACATCAAATTCAGATATAAAAACAAAGCAACAAAGCAATTCAATTTGTTTCAACAATGAACAAAAATTGTGTGTGCAAATAAAGCAATTTAATTTTGTTTTTGTACTAATGTCGCAAAAAAAGATTTTGATTGAAAACGTGAATATAAATTTTAAACAAATATTATGAAAAATAGTATATGGCAAATCGAATTTAATTTCGAATAAACCATGATTTTTTTCGCTTCTTTCGTTTATTATTATTTTGTTTTTTTTTTTTTTGTGGTGTTTAGTGAAGAGTAGAATAATGCTTTTACCATTTTTAAGGAGATGCTTGCGCGGTGCAGGAATATGTCGCTCGTTGCAGAAGAGTCCACGGGTGCGATTCACAAGCTGGCGCCAATTGGATCCCGGCTGATGGACTGCACCAAAGATGTCGACATTGTGCCAGGCATAGGTGAGCGTCTCCGGCAACTGTGTGTCATCGGATCTGCTGAACGAGCCATAGTTCTTGGCCTGGCCAAAGCTTTGGCTAATGCAGCTCTGCGAAGTGGGCGCCATCGACGTTGATGTCGCCGTTGCGGGCTCCCCCTGTTGTCAGTTGGATAGAGATAGATGTAGAGTTGGCAATGGGTGAATGTGAGTGTTGTGCTTGGCAGGGTTGTTGTTCGGGGCAAAAAGGTTTGAAAACTTTTCAATTTAACGCGAATAGCTAAAAACTTGCGCCCATAAAAAAGGGCGACGACGCGTAAATCTTTTCGGCGTGCTAATCCCAACGCCTACTTACGACCAATTCCTAAATAAAAATGGGGCGTGGCGGGGGGATGGCGATGCTTTTGCCTGAGTTTCATCAAAATAAAAAAAATGGCCAAGTTTTTCGAGGGACGAGGCGAACTCTGGCAAGTTGAAAGACCCGAGACTCGACCATTTAAAATGTGCAAATTAGGGCGGCCATAAGCCGCAGACGGTGTCGGAGCTGTTCGCAGTTGAGAGAGTGATAGAATGAGAGGGCAAGAGCTAGTGATAGAGACAGAGATAGAGATAGAAAGGCTGGCCATGTTGCCACTTCGTAAGACAATTGCCCGGCGTAAATGCAAATCGCACCCGGATTCAGATTGAGGGCTTGAATTGCGTTTTTTGTTTTTTGTTTCTTTTTTTTATTATTGAGCTTTACGGGTCGGCGAGGGTTTGAGCTTGGGACATTGTTAGCAACATTATTGCCATTTGAAGGTGACTTGCCCCGAGTGGCAAGTGAGTGAATGAGTGCCAAAGTTTGCCTTCGAAATGTTCTATTCGAGTGCATTGAATCAGTTTTGAATGCTTCGCTGAGTGTCCTTTGAGTGTCTGAGTGTCCCAGCAGCGTCAATTGATTGACCAATTGAGCATTGCGTAATTTACTTAGCATACATTACGCATTTGTTTTTCTAACGTTGATCTTGTTTGCTCGATTTCTTGTTATTGGTCACAAAATAAATCGCTTAGTTCTAGTCCAACTTCCATAGTATTTTACTAAATTTACCTAGAATATTGCCTTGAAACTATTAATTATTAAATTATGGCTCATTCTTGCAGAATGCCATTAACAAGTTGTTTATATGTGCATAGTCATAGGCATTTAAGCTTAATTAATAACGTCTGCAATCGCATAGCCAGCTGAAGTTCTTTAAAACTAAAAGTAAGTTGGCAACAAACTTTATTGAAGACTTAAGACTTAAGACTTAAGTTCTGTGAGTTGACGAATTTATATTTACATTCACTGCTGTATTACATTAACAGCATTAATAATCATTAACAGCATTCAAATACTTAGTTTCCATGCTCAAACTGTGCTTACTTCAGGTAATTACAAACAAGGTTGCGACTAGCGACATCTGGCGGTCAAAACAGATATGCCTGCTGGCTGCGCCCAAAAGCGTTGCCACAGCAGCTAAAAAAGTGATTCAACAAAGCCCAAAGTAGAAAGTACGAAAAATTAAATAAATATGAAATGTAAAATACAGACCGCGGGTCAAACTGAACTCAAGCTCGGGAGCGTCCGAGAGGAGTGCAGATAACAAGATATTATAGCAACACACACTTAAGCAACGCCAAAGAAAATGGAAATAACAATAACAACAACAACAACAACAACAACAAGGACAACAACGGCAGCAGCAGCAACAATAACAAAAATGTGAACACAACATAAGCAAATAAATACAGGAAAAACTTTTTAATAACATTTTTCGGCCTCATTTGTTGTGAAAACAATTTTGCTGGGGCCGTGCAGCATTCCGTGCCGTGGCGCACAACATCGCACCACATACCAAACCAAAAGCACCATCCAAATACCACCCATCCACCACCCACAGTTTCTGCCACATGTAACGGATATTAAATTTTTCGCGTTTACCTCGACGTGGCCGCCTCCAATTTCTCGAGCCAAATTGAAATGCAACGGACAACAACAACAGCAAGAAGAAGAAGAAGAAGAAGAAGATGAGCAGCCAGAAGAAGAAGAAGAAGCGACCGAGAAGATGAAGAAGTAAAAGACGAAGTGGCAGCAACAGCAGAGAGCAGCAAACAGGACTTGAACGAGCCGCATTATTAATAGCCAGGGCGACATTTTCGGGATTGAATGAATGACCGATTCTTGGGACAGAGGAAAACAGGGACAGACACAGAGACAGAGACAGAGAGAGTGGATACACACCCTCGCACACACACACACACACACACACACAATAGCTCAATGTTGTTTGCATCGCCAGCAGCTTTTGCTTAATTTTGATGATTATTTATACAAATTATTATGATTGCGTTAGGTGAAACGCAGAAAGCTTTTCATATTGCGGCCATCAGTCTGCCGCGACGCCGTCAATTAGCGCCCACCTCCGACTCTCCCCAACGGAGACGGGGCCGCCAGGCATGGAAACCCTGCAAGCCAGCGCTGGACCGCCTGAGCTGCGAGTGGGCTGGAGTGGGTGGGATGGAGGTTTGTAGTGGAGACAACAACCGCAACGGACAATGTGGGCGGTGAGCTCTGGTTTCAGTCTCTGGAAGCCCTACCCATGGGCTCAACCGGTATGTACATACATTCATACATATATAAGTATATATATATATATATATAGGTGGATAAAGATGACGAAATTTGTGTTCCTGGAAATGCGAGGAGCAAAGCTTGAGGTGGACAAATGTGAATTATATATTGATTGGAAACTTGCGGACTTCTCGAAACAACCAAGATCAGGAAGTGCTCGAAGGCTTATACTAAGACGTAATTCCAAGAAATACAGAAACTGCTTGGCGCCAAAGGTTTCGTTTAATTTCAGCCGAGACCTTAAATGTGAACTTTAATATTTATTTAAGGAGAAGGTTCAACTATTTGAAGCATACCGAAGATTACCTAGTCTTGCAGGCCGTGGTCCAAAAACTTTCTTGTTCATTTTTAAATCCGATTTCAAGGAGATGGACTTTCTGTTGGAAAGGTAAATAAGCTAAAGTTTGGCAAGAACTTGGGAAAAAACACTTTGCTCAACATTAACCAAAATTTTGAGTTTTAATGGAACTTGAACTATCAGCGATAAAAGAGAACATCTACAAAGGAAAAAGCTGTGAAAAAATTAATTTAATCGAATTAATTTTCTACTCGACTTTACCAAGAAAAAGTTAAAGAAAACCAAAATCAATTTAAATTTTATTATGTAAATGTAATGCAGTTGAATATAATATGGATTAAAATAAAACTATATCCGAGCCGTTCTCTCTGCAAATAAGAACTCGAAAAGTGATGTACGCCCTTCTTCTTCTTCATTCTGATTGCATGACTGGGCCAAAAGCCTATAAGGCTAGAATCAACACAGACGAGCCCAAGATATTGAGATACTCGACAGACAGCACCGTGAGCTGCCAAGGCGAAGATTCAGAGACAGATACAAGTACAGATGCTGGTGCTGATGTAGAATGGCCAGTCAAATAATGACCCAGATAAGAGTGGATTAAACAATATCAATAAAAGACAAAAACAAAGGCAAACAAAAAACACACAAAGAATGCGAACAGAAAGAAGCCAAGACGATGACAACAAGTACTCAGTTGGCGAGCATAGAACATGTGTCAAACACTTGCCAGATACGCGTCGAAAGATACAGTTACAGATACTCAGGTAGTTAGATACAAATACGCTGTGAGATAGGGCAATAACTATAAAGATGTGTTATCTGACACCCAAGCGATATGCACTTCTGTATATATATATACATATATATATATATATATATATATATATATATATTGTCTGTCTTCTCTACTCGCATGCATCGCTGCACCAATTTGTATCCATTGCTTGATATGCCAAAAGCATAGGTGTATCAAATAGTAGTTGCAACATTATCTGAAAGCAGTCCAACAGTGCTTAAGTATGCAAGCTGTCAGGGATTCAAAACTGAACTAGTTGAAACAACGTGATGTGTAGATGTGTAAATAAAGGTTATCAATGCAAACTTTTTATTTGTTTGCTGCTTAAGTATTTGTCTAAGAATATCCATACTTATCTAAGTATTCTATGAGTTTTACTTGCCTAACTCTTTATATCTAAAAAGCAAAAGAAAAGCCTTTTTGGATAGTTTTGGTATTTTGTTTTATTTATGTGAATAGCACTTTGGTAAAGAAAACAAAAGAGTTATTATAAAGTGCAAAGGGTATTATAATTTGGTCGTAAAGACTGTAGAATATGGAAAGAAGTGTCTTCGACTCTATAAGTAAATATATGTATTCTTGATCAGTATATATCAGTATTCTTGATCGATAGGGCTCTGTGACTAATTCTGCGTATTATTTTTTAGGAATATTTTGGTGCAAATTGGCATCGGTCGGAATTTTAAATTAATTGTGAAATTTAGATGGCAGGAGATGAACTCCGCTCTGCAAGAGTATGCAATCTTCGGCGTGTCTAGGATATATCTTATACGTTCTCTCTTGCTATTTTTTTTTTAATGTACTCATTATTCTTTAGACCCGTAGCTTACATTTCAATTGACAAATAAGCATGTTATTCGGCACATTTGGTAATAGATTAGTTGCAATGATTGTTTAATAGTGTATATATATATATATATATATATATATACATGTATATACGTAAATATGTTCATATGTATTCGAACAATGGCAACGACTGTTTTGGGTGTGTGGGGGATGCTAGCACAAATGAAAATCAAGGTCGTCGAGAATAGACGAGTACAGATTGTTGATTGTTCAATTGTTGCTGTTGTGTGAATGCATTTCTATACACACTTATTATTCATGCCTCCAATTACATGCGTTGCAACATTTGTTTAGCATAATGCGTTCCACTCATCTCCCTCTCTCTCTTTCGCTCTTAGGTAGTCTGTGTCATAGTTTCTATAGATTCTATAGATTCTTGTTTATGGCTGATGCAATGCGTCGGCTTGCGGTTTATACTGTGAGTGCGGGATTTGTGTGTTTGGGGGGGGGGGTGTTTGTGGCGCGAATGTGGAACGGTCTAAAGTAGCTGTTAGTTCACACGCTGCTGTCGCCTGGAAGCATGCAACATTTTCTTTGTGCTGCTATTGCTTTTGATTACTTACATTGTGCAACTGCTCGGTAGAGGGATGCTTGCTGCTGCCGCGTATCAATAGCTCCTGATCCTCTTGGCCCATCTTGTCAGTTGGCTCATGCAATAGGCATACACACCAACACACACACACACACACTAGCGCTAACACAACAACAAACAAAAAAAATAGAAAACAAAACCAAATCGAGTCTTCACTTTGAGTCAGGCACTTTTCGTAATTTGTATTTGCCTATTGTCGTTGTCGTTCTTCTCGTTGTTGTTGTTGTTGTTGTAGTTGTTATTGTTGTTTCCGTTTTGTTTTTATTTTCCTTTCTGGCGCTGCGGCGTCGCTTTGGCTTCGTGACGAACGCGCTGACAAAACACAACTGACGCTGAAAGACTGTGCGACTGACGGCACCTAACGGCAACTGTCGCTAACTGTGGCGGCCATTGACGCTGACGTTGACGCCGCCGCCGCCGCTGCCGCTGCCGCTGCAACGGCGACAGAGCTGCCTTTTGCGGTGGCAATGAGTGAAATTTGATGAGTGCAAACAGATAAAAGCTCAGTGACAACAACAAACACGACAACAAATGCTTCGTCTATTTGCATGCTGATTAGAGAGGAGACGAGTCGTCCGTCTGCTGCCATAAACAGTATCTTTGTCTTCTTCTCATTACGCACTGTGCACCGTTATCAGTGCATTTGCTTTTGCTTTTACCTCTTTTGTTCGCGTTGTGATGCTTCCTGCTGCTAGCTATCGATAACATTATCGATAGGCAAAAAGCCAAAAAAACTGTTATTTCTTTGGATTGTGTTTAATGATTTCATTAAAAAATAGTTTTTCTCGAAAATATGCTCGACTGACATCTGAACCAAAACCAAACAGTTCATGTGGTAAGCATTTTAGCAAGCGAATTTAAGATTTGCCCATGGGGCTATATTCTATTTTGGATAAAATACTTATAAATAACATTAGGTTGTGAATGATATTAGATTAAACCTATTAAAAATAGGCTTACACAGAATTATAACATCAGATTCCCTAAAATTTATTTCGGAGCAGCTGGAGATCTCATTTTTGGTATGTCAAATCTCAAGCTAATGTTTTGTTTCTTTTATATAATATGATTAGAAATATGGGGACCCAAGTTGGTATATTATCACAATACATTTGCTTTTAAAATATCAAATCAATGAAAATTATGAGATGAGCACAGAGTATCAGCTACTCGAGCACTCGCGACAAGAGCATGTTTTGTTGTTTGGGTGATATAATTGTAAAATCAAACTTAAATTATAAAGCTGTTCGCTTCACATAGAATGTCTGTGCGGATTTAGTCTTAATCATACTCAGAAGAAACCCTAATAATTGAATATTGAAAATCGCCTTAAAATGAAAATCGACCTTAAAACTAAAATGATTTTCTGGTCTCTAGAAATAATTTCTACATATGCGACAAATATTTCTTATAATTAGAAACACTTACACTAAATCGACCATCTGAAAACTATATATGTGGTTTTTTCATTTTATTTTTTAACAAATATTTTATATTTTTATAAAATATTTGACAAAACTTACCGTAAGCCCAGCTGTTAAATATATTTTAGTGTTATTGGCAAATTTCTCGTTTAAAAGTTATTGTTTGGTTAGTTTTGCACAAGATTTGTAAAAGACATTTTTGCTAATTTAAAGGATTTAATTCCTTATTTCAAGCATATAATAGCTTGGAGTAAGAAAATTAAAACCTTGGTTGTAACATCTATATAATAAAACAATCGACCTTGGAATGAGCAAAGTCAGATTTAATATTTAAGAAAGAGGCAACTTTCTGAAAAATAGGGTGGGAAATAGAATGTGTCTAACTTATGGTTCATATAAAATGTAACTTGAAGTAAGTAAATTAAAGCCTTCGATTTTTGAAAGACGCGACTTTCCTATTAACAAATGCATTCACGTTTTTCTTAATCTTAAGTCGAGTTTTTCTGAGTGCATGCATATATTGCTGTTGTTGCTGCTGCACCTTTAGGGCTTCTTTCTTTGATCGGCTGTGCGCAGCGCTTTGAGCTGAACTCAAACTTGAAACGACTTTCATGTTAAAAAAAAGAAAAAGAAAAAAAATCCAGCTCAAAGCTCATAAGTAGTTGTTGCAGTATGGTCGTTGTTGCCGCTTTAAAGTAGTGCCACAAAATATGTTGCGGGGCATGCGTTGCTGCTGTCGCTTTATAAGCTGCAACAGCAAAAACAGCACACGAAATCTCGTTTGAACTTCTGACAAGCTCAGTTGCCAGTTGCTCCAGTCGGATGCCATCATTTACTCACTCAAATGCTATAAACTTTTAACACTTAACAATTTATTGTCACTCTGCTTGCGTTAGCTTTGTCGTTGTTGTTGCCGCTGTCGCAGTCGCAGTCGCCGTCGCAGTCGCTGTCGACGCCGGCGTCGTTGTGTTTGTGTCATGAAACTTGCAGTGCAAAGGCAACAAAAAAAAAAGAAAATATAAAAAAAATTCGAGCAAAAATGTAGTGGAAAGTTTCGCTAACACGCTTTAACACTCTCCCTTACAAACACAAACACACACACACACACACACGCACAGACACACACTCACAGATACACACACACACACACACACACACACAAACATACATATACAGGTAGAGCGGCCATTGACACTTGGACTCAGGTTGGGTGAGTTGTTCGGAGCTGAGTTTATTCCCGCCGTTGACAATGACTCTGACTTAACCCCTCTGTGCCCAATGCTCGCACACTTTGGAGTTGCCATTGCCATCCCCCATTGGCACCAGCACCACCCATGCAAATTATTGACGCGGACAGTGGCTTCAATAAATCCGAGTGTGTGGGTGTGTGTGGTAACTTTTGCTGTGCCTGCTGCCTGTTTGTGCTAACTTTATGCCAAGCGCCACGCTAATCAGACAGCTTTCTAGTTCATTGCATTGAACGAGCGACACGCCCACATGGCTGAATCTCTCCATCTGTAAGCGTAGGCACGCACCCGCAGCACCGCAGCGCCAGGGCCCCGCTGCACCATCGCTCCACCGCACCGCCAGTCTAAACCGTCCGTCAAGCAGCCACTCAACTGGCTGTAATTGCCAAGTAAATCAGCGCTGCCACTTGCCATGCCCGAAAAGTATGTTCTGTCGAGGATTGCGGATGGCAGCAAAAAAAAAGGGAAAAGGCACTTGGAGCTAAGGGGTTTAGGGGCAAAGGAAGGTTTGCGTGTGTGTGTGTGTATGCGGGTGTATGTGTATGTGTATGTGGCACTTGGCTTGTGCTAAACTTTGAGAAGTTTTAAAGAGGAATGCTTCATGTGCTAGATTCATAGCTAGTTAGTTAGTTAGTTCGTTAGCTAGTTGCTCAGGATCCACAACTTGGTTAAGCGAGCGGGGCTGGTCGAGGCGGTCGTCTGTTCCAAAAGTTTATACAAAGGGGATGGGAATGAATGTCGCCTGTCTGCTGTGGAGCTAGAAGTGAAGAAATCTGTTTGCAAAGGCCATAAAGAATAGGTACAAATACACTGAATATGGCAAATTAATTTGCGAATACAAAATTTCAATTTATATGACATTTTTCCAGAGAGTCGAGAGTTAATGCAGAATTAATAAAAATAATTCGGAAATCTGATCATTTGTGGCGAATATATTGCAGTTCGAGTTTGAATTTCTACAGAAAAAGCTTCGAATTAATATATATATATAAATATATATATAAATATATATATATATATATATAAACAATTGCCTTCAAAAATTATCTCTATAGATCCAAGAGGTTGTCTAGTTTCCAGCTCGGTTTTCACTTTTAGATGATTTTCTAAAGTTCAGTCCGATTTTCTAAAGTTCACCATTTGAAATCTATTAATTTGTAATTTTGTATGTATAACTGGGGATAGTTTTAACGTCAAACAAAACAAGGATATCATCAGGACTTCAAAGATTTAATGTGTTTTAGTAGAGAAGTTAATGAAAAAGTCATGTTTAGAAGGAAAAAATCGTCCGTAGTTTAATGTAGATTAACAAATTTGTTGTCACAATTTCAAAATTCTAGCAACGTTGAAGCTTTTCCATGTCGTTTAATTATAATACATATTTGATACAAGGAATCTACCTGAGATGCAGATGATACTATCTTAATTAGCTTTAAGAGCTAAGGATGACCTCAAAATATATTCTCTCTGTTTATATTAGGTATGACAAGAGGATGGGGAGATAACATCCAACTATAGATCTCATCGATAAATATATACTTATAGATAGGCTTACCCGTTCTATCGTTATATCTAAAACAAATCTTACAGTCTGGCAATCCACTCAAAAAAACACATCAATATCTCATTAATTTTTTTTCTTTCGATCTATTTAAAAATGACTATCATCAATTCGCAGATAAAATATATTCAAAGCTTGACTTTTTTTTTGTAGAAACGGATTATTATATTTTTTTATTATTATTATTATTTTTTTTCTCTTTGTTGATTGTCACAAGGGTGGCTCCAACAAAGGGTTGCCACTGAGTCGAGTTTAGGAGAGTTGAGTAGATGCCTTTTCTGCTGCGTGCCCCACTGACTGCAATAAAAGCAAACGACAGTGGCATATTTTTCTATTAAAGCGCATCAAGCGAATGCTCGACTGTGCGATAAGGCAGACGAGCCTAGAACAAAACATGGGGCAGATGGGTGGAGGCAGGGTGGAATGGGCAATGGGGAGGGTGAGGCAGCAAGATGGAGAATCGCCAACGAATTTGCCGCTTACAGCACGCGCGCGTCTCATAAAAAACGTATCAAAAGATCCACTGGGAGTCATAAAAATTTTGCACTTTGCCCGCAGCAGCTGCAAGCACTGAGTTGAGGCTGAATCTGTAACTGGAGTCAAAGTCGGAGCAACTTTTGTCTTACAGGCGCGACAGACGTGGCGGCGTTGCCGGCGTATGTGTAATCTAATAAAATGTGCTGTTTATGTGGCAACAGGCTCGGCTGCCAGATATGCTGGGGCATGGCCAGTCGCCTAGTTGGCCGCAACTACTGCCAGCTTCCAAGTGGCTGTCGGAGCCGTGCAACAGTTGCGCTGCTTTATGGCTGCCCTGTTGGCCGCATTGTGGTAACCATATCATGCCCCACCACACCTTCCCTGGCCAAGTTAACTGCAACTTATGTATGTTGCGTCATATCGTATGAGTCTGGAGGCGAATCCTACTCTCGTTCCTCGTTTGTGGAAGCCATAAAGGTAGCAAGATTCAAACATATGTTCCAGACCTCCGGCAGATTGAAGATATAACTTTTATCTACTGTGCAAGCAGAACTTGCGAAAACTTAACTAAGACAGTTCTTTCTAAACAATTCAGCTCTCGATACACTCAGGAAAAAATGTAACTTAAAATTTTAAAATTG